CAAAGACTGGAACTGTGTTTGATGGTACTAATTTGTCACAGGCACTTGAAGCGTTTCAGTAAAATATAATGCTAACTAAATACGAAATCTATTTACCATCTACCAAATTCTTAATGTTTCTATACTCTCTTTTACTATTATGCGACAGTTTCCTGTAATTCGTTCAATCCTACGTCCAACATACGCTGCGGCGCGCCATTGCTCTCGCGCGCTGCCACTGTTGCACGCTTACACTTATATATATATAGTGTTATTTATATTATATATATATATATATATAGTGTATTATGTATAAAGTGTTACTATAATATATAAGTGTAAGCGTGCAACAGTGCAGCGCGAGGAGCATGTAGTCCAGTCATAAGTGCACTCTACGAGAAATCGGCGTGAAACAAGGTGGATTCTTCACTAATGTGTGTAGGTATTGGTCCATATAAACCCCCAAAAAAAGTTACCAAATTTTCGTTGGTCGGAAACTTTTTTACGGGCCACGCCCTTTTTCCGATATTTCGTGATTATGGAAAAATTGTGTAAATCTTACCTGAACACTTTATAGTCATGTTATACATGTTAATAGGGGATTTTGGGGGGCGGAGTCGATTCCAACAGTCAGTTTATTCATATTGAACGGTTAAGGCTTAATTGACCAATTATTAAAGCTCAGTCACGTATCAAAATTTCGTGTTTTCTGACATATGCGCATGTTTTAGGAAAATGCTCCCTCCTCTGTCTCACCCTCTCTTTTCTTCTCTCACTCCCTCCTTCCCTCCCTCTCCTTATATCTTCTCCTTCTCCCCTCTCTCTCGCTCTCTCTCTCACTCCCTCCTCCGTTGTGCCGCTCCCTACTTCTCTATCTTGCATTCCCTTCCCTCTATCCCATCATTCCTCAATCTCTTCCTACTTCTGCTCTCTGTCTCTCTCTCTCTCTTTTTTTCTCTCTCTCTCTCTCTCTTTTTTTTTCTCTCTCTCTCTCTCTCTCTTTCTCCCTCCTTTCCGGCTTTTATGTCCTCCTCGCTCGGTCTCTCTGTCCTTCCTCTCCGTTTGTTTTTCTATGTGAATGTCTCTGCCTTGCGCTCACACCCACATTCTCTACAGTAGGGCCCGGCACACTGTGTACAGACACTCTGCAGTATTGGCCCTGGCTCTCCAGCGCTGTGGTATTGATTGCTTGAGTGCAGCCATTGCATGAATATTGTATTAAGTAGTCCCGGGCAATGGATGAAGGAAGTGTGGCGGGCTGTCTGTGAGTTACGGGGGAAGCAGCGAGAGTGCGGCTTGTTTTCATTTTGGCTACGATTTCTTGCCGTCTCCTGCTGCCTCGCAATGGAAAACAAGAATTAATTGCATCTTTGATTTTTCTCGTTACATTTTTTTGACAGCCTAATAAAAAATTTAACGTTTCTGATTCCATCAATATCTGTTTCACGCCTCAGTGACGTTAGGTTACAGTAAATCATGTCGATTCTTGCCGTCCTGTTTTTCAGTCGTTGCCGCGAAATAAGCGTGAATGCATTCATCTATATTGTAAATGTTATGTATGACGAATGTCTGCCATTCGAACAGGTTGGTAATTCCTTGCAATTCTGGAGAAGATATTAACAAATATCAAGTGCTCAAATCAAGCTTAAGTGGAAACAGACATTTTTTTAATAAAAAAAAAGCTGCACAATGTAGTCCAGCACTCTTGAAAAATTAACTTGTGATTAAATACAAAATTAACTTAACTAAACGTCATTAGATAGGATTTGAATGTCAAATGATACTTTATTTGACATACGTCATCGCTCCTCGCTGCTGCATCTCTCGAGTGACGCGCAAGTGGCTGAAACGAGACAGTAATCTGTTTTCTGCTGATGATTCGAGTTAGTTAGGCGATCTCATCTGAGCTCTCATCAGCACATATCCCCACTTAAAATCTATATGAGATAACTATCACAGGGTTTCGTGGAGCATTTGTGTGAGAGGGCTTTTTAAGTTTAGAACTGGTTAGGATCGAATCTGTAGTTGGATTTTGCCAGTTTGTTGATTTGGCCAGGTTTTTATTTCGAGCCATATGAAGGTTCAGCTGACGCCACCTGAGGCACGTTTATATCATATTACAGCCGTCTATGATCGCACCTGCTTCAGCCATTAACGTTTTATGGTACAGCGCCCGGGAAAATGATGATGGTGGTTTGTGATATGAATTGTGTAACGCTGAAATGTATGACATTGAAACCCTTTTGTTCTGACATCTGGCGATATCAAGTTACGTGATTTGATGTGGTGAATAAAATGTGTTTAAACGTGTTCGTTCATGTGCATTTCAGATACAAGATATAATGATTGAAGAGATTGACAATAAGGAGACAAAATCTGCCAAAGATGCTCTCTTGTTGTGGTGCCAGATGAAGACAGCTGGCTATAACAATGTTAACATTCGTAACTTCACAACGAGTTGGCGCGATGGGTTGGCATTCAACGCCATCATTCATAAGCACAGGTATATAATGTCGACACTATTATATATGACACATATCGATTTCATCAGAACCACAACTTTGCAAAAATTCACTCTCAGTGCTTCAGGTATTAGTCTATAAGCATACTTGCTATGAAGCCCATTCGAATTTTTCTTTCATTAGGAGATTGGGGTTGATGAATTTCAATGGGGGAGGTTTGATGAAATTGGTAGGGAGGTGACCAGTGGCCCAGAAACTTCATCATGAAATAAGGACTATGAAATTAATTGAGCTGTGACCTAGCAGTATAATAGATTTTCTGACCGCTCATACCAACTTTGAATATGGTTCATAGTCTTTGTTTTTGTCACTGATGTCTTCAAAGACGTATGCTAGGAAGTGGTACAGAAACATTGATAGATCAATTTACATGAATTGCATACCATTATTTAGTTTGTAATATCACGTTTGCCACTTTCCCTTCTCTGAACTAGCAGTACCATTTACGTGATTCAATTCAAGGTTCACTCCTCAGCAGTAGTAGATTCTCTATACACAGACGAATTTATTCCTTCAATAATTTTCCCTATGGTCCCCATGTCCATCAAATCAATTATTTCACCTTAGTGAAGGTCATTGATATTAAGGCAGAATATGGTTTACAGAATTACTGGACTAATGGTAGAATGTTTTACCGGTGCTCAGTCTCACGGACTGAAAAGCTATATAGATTATCGACGTATTTTGAGTGGTGTATTACTGGCAATTGCTACAATGTCAATGTTTTCTTGCCGCAAGGCTATAAGATGATGCGAGTGCTGTACCCGAATCTTCTGTCTTATCCAGACCTGACCTGATCCGATACGAACAGCTTCAGAAATCGAATGCGCTGCACAACCTGAACAATGCCTTCAACACTGCTGAAGACAAGCTGGGCATCTCGAGACTTCTTGATGCTGAAGGTGTGTGGTATAGGGGCGTTTAACTGTGCTGTATGATTTCACTCATCATCATTATAGAGAGCGGGAGTCGAGAAATTGCATGTATTGTTGTGGTTGTTGTGGTTGGTGTTGGAGAGAAAGAGGTGTGGCATTTATACATACACATATATAGTCTGTGGTATGAGAGAGAATGGTGTGCTAATGCATCGAATAGTAGCCGATGGGTGTATGCACTGTGATTTTAAAGTACCGTATTGATTTTCTCTTTACACTGTATTGTTTTGTTGGTGAGTTATTGTTAAAAGCCTCTGTTAAACATCACAGTAGCATTTGCTGCACGAATGTGAGCTACGTTGAATAATTAATAGTTTGACAAGGAAAAGCCATAAGCCTGATAACTTGCAAAGTAGTTGTAGTTGACTCTCTTCATCGAATCTGTTAATGGTTTTGCCCATATGTGTAAATGCTACTTGCAAAGAACATTATTCATTGTGTTTTGCTCTGCACTAAGAAGCATGTGACTTACTCAGTTGCTACAAACTATGTGTAAGAAATAAGCCTGAGTAGCTTACTAATATGTGTTCGGTGGAAACAGAACTATACATTCAGTTGTCTGGATCCTACTTGGGGAAAAAAATTTAAGGCACCGATTACGTTTAAGCTTATGAACTTTGTACGGTTACACGACTCTTGGTGTAATTAAGAATTGGCTGGTAATTCACGGGGTAATCCACAGAAACTTCCACTATCACGCAAGAAGGACCGCGCCCTGCATAGACAGTGATTTTGACAATCAGCGAGCGATTGTGCGCTCACTAGCTGCAGACATAATCGTTTTCGTGTATCAGGTGTTTTTCAGCGCAGAAATATGGAGTCATTCGTGTGGTTAACTACTATTTAAAAACCACTATGAATCAGGTTTTACGCTGCAGCGAGCAGTTATAATAAATGCCAGGTCAGCGTAATACTCGATTGCCATCGATACAAGCGTAAGCGACTGTACATCTACATCTACTGCATCCAGTGATCTGTGTTTAATAAGTTGAATTGAATATATTTATGGGGATACATACATTGTGCATGGAAGCACAATGCTAAACAATTATTTTACAACGAATCATGAGATCAGAGACATAAGAAGAAAACTTGTTTTTAATATTTGTTTCCCTTGCAGTTTTAAACACTTACAGCAGCGTATGGCATGTCAAACAATGTGGTTGACCAGTGTAGTCAACTAATATTAATTACCAAAGGAATCTATTTTTAACAAACATTAGTACCTTTTGCTCATGAATTCATACTGAAGTCTAGGCAACAGTTTTTTTTATATATAAATGTTTAAAGGATGACAATCAACAGAATTTCATAAAAAAATTGTATCACAATTTTTGTCATACTAAGTATATACACTCTACTCTGTGCAATTTCGTCATGCAACAGTCTCTGGAAACGCATCTTTCACTTGCCGTGTAGACCTACTGTATACAATTGGTATATATTACAATATATTAATAGATGTGCAAGATAGAGAATATTCTCCATCTCTCTCTCTCTCTCTCTCTCTCTTACAGACGTGGCAGTCGATTACCCCGATGAGAAGTCGATCATTACGTACGTGGTCGCTTACTACCACTACTTCTCACGCATGAAGGCAGACAGTGTTCAGGGTCGACGTATTGGCAAGGTAAGCGCAGGTAGCGGGTGGACGAAGAAGGCATCGATTGAGGAGATGTGTGTCGGGACAAATCAGGCACACTTAGATCTGTTAAAATGCTATCATTGCATGGAATAGCTAGCTCCTGTGCACTGAGATACACCACAAGTTGTAAGTCGTTCCTAAAAGTTCGGACGATTGGCATCGGTATAGCTACATAACATTGGGTGAACCACTTCAGACTACATTTTTTATGAGCCTTATATCATCAAATTCACTCGTAAAGATCGTTAACGGGAACGTGAAGAGTTTCGTACGGATATCGCTCGATCGTCGTTTCGTCGCACATTTTGCGGTTTGCGATACCTCTTGGCGCGTGTCGCCGCGATACCTACATGGCGCGCGTCGTTGCGATACCTCTTGGCGCGCGTCGTCATGATGCCTCTTGGTGCGCGTCACCTCTTGGCGCGCGTCGTTGCGCTGCCTCTTAGTGAGCGTCGTCGTGATACCTCTTGGCGCGTGTCGTTGAGCGTACGTTGTCGTTGACCGTCAGGTGGTGGACAATGCGATTGAGAACGAGCACATGATGAACGAGTACGAGTCGCTGACCTCTGACCTGATCGAGTGGATCAAGAAGACCATACAGGAGCTGAACGACCGCACGTTCGAGAACTCGCTGACCGGCGTCCAGTCTCAGCTGCTGCAGTTCAACACCTACAGGACGGTGGAGAAGCCACCCAAGTAAGCAGCAGTGCAGCGTGACTGACGTGGGGCTTCGTAGGGGTGGCTATAACTAATAATAGGCGGCTATAACAGGGAGACGTAGCGACTTCCGTGTCATCCGCATAATGACAATGCTCTCGCAGATATTTGTTGTCTACAGGCTTTCTGCGTATTAAATAGCGGACATCTTCGTCGCGGCAGTCCCGGCCATAACGAGTTCCCTGTTGCAGGTTTGTCGAAAAGGGAAACTTGGAGATCCTGCTGTTCACCCTGCAGAGCAAGATGAGGGCGAACAACCAGAAGCCTTACTTCCCCAAGGAAGGCAAGATGATCTCGGACATCAATCGTGCATGGGAGATGCTGGAGAAGGCTGAGCATGAGAGAGAACTGGCACTGAGAGAGGAGCTTATTAGGTAACGAGAGGGCAGCACAAGGAAACGCAAGTGAGAGGCAATTAGAGAAAGTGTGAAAGATAAGAGGGTGGAGTGAAGGAGGATGATACTGAGAGAGTTCGTATGAAACGGAATGAGAGAAAAATGGAAAAAGTGTGGAGAATTCTTACGAGTAATGTAGTATTAACGATTACATTTGCAATACGTCAAAAAAGGTAATATGGTTGTTCACACACATAAGATGGTGCTGGAATGTCTCCGCAGGAAAAAAATCGTCCCATTAACAAGTCATCTCTAAAATGGCATCAACTATTTTCGCCTAAACCCTACAAATATACCCAGTGGAACCACGACCTATAGTGCATGCCCGCACCCTTCTTTGACAACACGTGTATCTCCTGGGTTACATTCAACCATGACAACATTTGATCTGTATATCTCTCCGTGCGCAGGCAAGAGAAACTGGAGCAGCCAACCGCTTCAACCGCATGCCTTTGTCCTATCCTGTCCATACATGTCTTTGTCTTTTTCACGCTTTCTCTGATCTGGGTCATACTTTTGTCTTGTCTACCCTTCATGTCCTTTAACCGACTACATCCAACATCGCATCCTACATGCCATCTAGCATCGGCTTGTCCCCCGCGACGCCCGCTTGATCGCCGCGGTAACGCATCCCCTGCGATCGTGCCCGCTTGATCGCCGCGGTAACGCATCCCCTGCGACCGTGCCCGCTCGATCGCCGCGGTAACGCATCCCCTGCGACCGTGCCCGCTCGATCGCAGCAGTAACGCATCCCTGTCTCCCTCTCTCTCAGGCAGGAGAAGCTGGAGCAGCTCGCGAACCGCTTCGACCGCAAGGCGGGCATGCGCGAGACGTGGCTCAGCGAGAACCAGCGTCTCGTCTCGCAGGACAACTTCGGCTACGACCTCGCCGCGGTCGAGGCGGCGACGAAGAAGCACGAGGCGATTGAGACGGACATCTACGCGTACGAGGAGCGCGTGCAGGCCGTCGTGTCCGTCGCGCAGGAGCTCGAGCTGGAGAACTACCACGACATCGACCGCATCGTCGCACGGTAGGCAGACGCGCGCGCGTGAGGGTCGCGAGGGTTGTGTGGGTCACGGAGGTCACCGTCCACGCAGACGAAGACTAGCACAGTGCACGTCTCAGAATTCATTTTAGGCATTATTTTGTGGGAGTAATAGTAAGAAGAATTGCTCAAGATAGTTATAGTATATCTAAGCAGTTATAGTTATTAATGTGAGGACCTTGGGTAGGGGGTTTATGACTGAAGGAATGGGTTGTTTACCCTACCATTACATCGGGAAAATGCATCACAAAATCTGCTATTTAAGCAGGTCCCAAAGTATAGGACATAAAGTAGTAATATAATCCAGAACGTTACGAGAACAGAATCACCACAGAAACAAAAAGAATCACTGAATTTCAATTGTCATCCAAAAGCAAGGCTGTGTTTTCTCTTCTCAATCCCAAAACAGTCATGACGTGTTTTCACAACTATACTGACTGTATACGTCTATGAACTAATCGAATTTACCTGTGTATTGGAGCCACTTATGACACAAGTAAATGACTCCAATAGGTACAATCTGCTATCGCCTCCTCCCTCCCATCCACCCCCTCCATGCCTTCTTAATACTGGGGACAAGTCTGCTTCTTGTTCCATCGTGGGAATCTGACACTACTTGATGTATACGTCTCCGAACTCATTGAGTGTACCTGTGTATTGGGGCCGTTTATGACACACGTAATTAACTCCAATTAGTACAACCCCATCCCGAGCCCTCCCACATTCGTCCATAAAAGACATGTCTTCTGATTCCTGAGCCTGCTTCTTGTTCAGTATTGTGAATCTGTGGTGTGACTGCTTGTGTTGTGTGTGTGTGCAGGAAGGACAACGTGCTGCGTCTGTGGGAGTACCTGCTGGAGCTGCTGCGTGCGCGCCGCATGCGCCTCGAGCTGTCCATGTCGCTGCAGAGAATCTTCCAGGAGATGATCTACATACTCGACTGGATGGAGGAGCTGAAGGTACGTGCATGCATGCATGCCTATGGACAAGCCTTGCTCGCGCCAACCTCAGTTAGCGCATATGCTTGCTGGCCTATGAAAGCATGCTTGCCTCCCAGTAGTACAAACAAGTGCTTGCTGCCCTATGGACATGCTTGCGCCTATGGACATGCTTGCCTGCGCTATCATAGACATGCTTGTGCTCCGCGCCACTTTATGGAATTATGACCTCTGCCCTATGGACATGCTTGCGTCTATGACATGCTTGCTTGCCGCCTTTTATGGACAAGCTTGCTGCCTATGGATCATGCTTGCTGCCTTATGAACATGCTTGCTGCCTATGAAGCCATGGCATTGGTGCCTATCGGACACTGCTTGCGCCTATGGACAATTGCTTGCTGCCTATCGCACCATAGCTTGCGTGGGCCTATGAGGAGCATGGCCTTGACTGCCTATTGACAGACTTGCCACCCTATTGGACCAAGACTTTGTCATGCCATATCGGGAGCCATCGCCTATGCTGCCTATGGACATGCTTGCCCCTATGGACAATCGCTTGCTGCCGTATGGACAGTGCTTGCTCCACACTCCATAAACAATAGACATGCTTGCTGTCTAATGGAAAATGCTTTGCAGCCTATGGAACATGCTTGCTGCCTATCGGATCATGCTATGCTGCCTATGAGAACACATGTCTTGACTGCCTATGGATGAGATAGCTTGCTAGCGCCATTAATGGACATTTGCTTGCTGCCTATGGACATCTTGCTGCGCTATGGACAGCTTAAGCTGAGGACCTATGGATCAAGCTTGTGCTGACCTATGACCAGGGCTTGCTGGCCTATGGAACATGCTTGCCGCATAATGGCCATGAAATTGCTGCCTATATCTCTCTAGGCTTGGTGCTATGGGACATGCTTGGCTGCGTATGGACGACGGAGACCCTCTACTGTGGTAGCAACACCAATAGTGAATGGC